CTGCTCCAACTACTACTACATCAAACTCATGGTGAATAATATTATAAGACTTGGGCATTTAATGTGTTCCTTATAGCTATATAGTTTGAGTAAAAGATAAAGTGGTTATTCTATCGAGAGCGACTAACGTTTATAGCAATTGTTCAGCTATAACCATAGTATAAAATAATGCTACTATGAATGATACTGAGGTTATAATACAAAATATCTGAAGAAATATGATTAATCCAATACGAAGTTTTATACCAGGTATATAGTCTTCAATTATAACTCGCATTCCAAGCATGGAGTGATAAAGAGCTGTAATCACCAAAACTCCTAATAAAATAATATTATAAGGTTGGTGCAAAATTATAATAATAGCGGTTAAATCCTTATTAATAATTTGTTTTATAGTAAATATTAGCCAGATAGAACAAAGTAGTAAAATAATAGCGGTTATTCTTTGGTACCACCAATGACTAGCGCCACTTTTTGCTGTCCCTTCCCCTTTAGCTTTTGCTAGGTCTGTTCTTAAATCATCAATCATTATTTTCTCAAACTATAAAACTATTATTAGGCCAAAAATTAATGTCATCAATAATGAGCATATTACTACAGCCCAGCCCGTCACATTAATAGCTTTAATTGAAAAACAATATCCGCTATCCCAAATTAAATGACGTATCCCATTACATAAATGATAAAACCAAGCAAAGCTTATCCCTACTAAAGCTATCTTAAATAAGCCGCCTTTGAAATATTGAACATATTCGGGGCTGAATTGATTAAAGGCTAAGATGATAAAATACCACACTAATGCAGCTATGCTTAAAAATAAGGCTACTCCTGTAATACGGTGGAAGATAGATAAAACAGAACTAATCTGTTTTTTATATATAGTTAAATGAGGAGAAATAGGTCTATTATTATAAATGTCCTGCCTTGTTTTCGACATAATTGGCCTTAAGTTATATTCATTCACATAGTAATAGTTTTAACCAATTCTTGCAAGCTTAACCTCAGTACTAATTAACCTAAATTTAATATAAATAAGTTATATCACATTAACTTATTTACTTAACTCTAGCATTCTATCTAAAGATCTTCTGGCTTTCATTACTATCTCATTCTCTAATTTAATTTCAGGATATTCGTTAACCATACAAAGGTATAATTTCTCCAGAGTGTTAATCTTCATATGAGGGCAATTACTACAACTACTACAACCTGCTTGATTAGTAGAAGATACCTCGTAAAATTTGCTATCTGGACTCTGTATTTGCATTTGATGAATAATTCCCGGTTCGGTGAGCACAATAAATTCTACTCCATTATTAGCTGCTACATATTTAAGTAGAGCAGAGGTAGACCCTATATAATCTGCATATCTTAATAAATTCTCTGGGCACTCAGGGTGCGCAATAATTTGAGCTAAAGGACTATTTACACGCAGCTTAATTAGCTCTCTTTCGGAAAAATTCTCATGGACAATACATGAACCATTCCACAATTTCATTGGTCTGTTTGTCTTTTTTATTAGGTAATTTCCTAAATGTTTATCCGGAGCAAAAAGGATAGGCTGATCTTGCGGTATCGAATTAATTATTTTTTCTGCACTAGAGGAGGTAACTATAATATCAGATAAAGCTTTTACCTCAGCAGAGCAATTAATATAAGTTAGAGCGATATATCCCGGGTTTTCTTCCCTAAATTTACTAAAATCTTCAGCCTGGCAGGATTCTTCTAGTGAACAGCCGGCTTTCAAATCTGGCAGTAAGACTTTCTTAAGAGGATTAAGGATGTAAGCTGCTTCTGCCATAAACTTCACCCCGCAAAAAACTATTATATTAGCTGAAGTCATAGAGGCTTTCTTAGACAATTCTAATGAATCTCCAATAAAATCCGCAATATCTTGGATCTCAGGGTCTTGATAATAGTGAGCAAGAATTACCGCATTTTTTTCTCTTTTAATTCGTAAAATTGCTTGTGCAAGATCAAGATAAGGGTCAATATCAGCAAGGGAGAGAATGTTTGGTTCCATATTTACTCAACATTTATTCCTTATATTCTAGTTCAATGGAGTAAGGTGCTACCTTTGAAAATATTTTACCAATGATTGGAATTTTAGTGATAATGTTACTCATAAAAAAGAATGATGGTATAACGTTTCCTTTAAGTTTTATTTGACGCCTATCCGTATCAATTATACCTTGCATTGTAAAATCAAAGAAGGGGCCTTCAGCTGCACTGTTAGTGATTTTAACGGTATTACCTATGTAACTAAACTGCCCATGCATATTAGTAAACATAATATTTTTGTTGTTTAAGATAAAGCTCATAAAACCAGGAAACGAAACAAATGATACTATTCTAGTAAGAAAAGACATATCTGTAATAATAAACTGCTTTATATCAAATGTCCCGTTTAAAATCGGTATTATTTCACCTTTTTTAACTTCTTGCCTTTTGGTTTCAAGGTTCAAATTGACGGTGCCATTTTTCATATTGTTATACATGCCTATACCCTTAAATAGAGCACCCGCATTATTACAGCTAACAAACCATTGTTCTTTATCTTGCTTATCAGTAAGTGACATTTCTAAAGATTTAGTGCCTATTTTGGAGGACAAAGATCCCGAGAAGCATTTCGTTTTACTACAGTCAATTTGCAAGTTAAAATCGTTAAGGCATATATTATTTTGCAGTCGAATTTTTTCTATACCCACTTTCAAATGAATATTTTTGGTATCTGCGGCTTTTTCTAAAAATTGCATCATATTAGAATGAGACAAGTCCAATTGTTTCCCCTGGATTTCCGCATTTAAATTATCTTTATCTAATAGCAATTTACCGGTTAAATTAGTATTCCCATAACTAATTACTGGCAAAGTAATATTATATTTATTATTTGGTAGTGTAACTTTACCAATAATTTTTAAATTGTTCTCTCCGGTAAGGTTAAAATTAAGTCCGTCTTTAAAATTATTGTCTAAATTTCCTAACAAAGTTAATTTGGCTTCCTTCCCAAGTCTTTTATGAATAGAAATTTTATCAATATAAAATGCTAAATTTTTTAGATTTGCCTTAGCAGAAATTATAGATTCTCCATTATTTTTTGTCTTATATTCAAAATCTAGAAGAGTGCTACCTGCAAGTAACTTTATTATTCCCAATTGTTGATTATTTCCAGAAATGGTAGTTTTAATACTTAATAGCTGATCATAATTATCTTTTTTATTAACCCTAATATTATGCTGATATAAAAAATCACTATTATTATTGTTAATTTTTCCTACCCCAGCTACTAATATCTTATCTCCGTCAAATAAGCCAGTTATTTTGGCATTTTTTAATATAATATTGTCGTCAAATACGGTCAAATTAGCGTTAGTAATCACACTAGAGATATTATAGGTATTTTTGATATTTGGATTAGTGGGGATTAATATTTGAATTTTAGAATTGGCTTGCCCTGTAATCTTTTTAAGATCTATCCCTTGGGTTTTTGTTTTTTTATAATCTTCAGCGGAGATAAAATCAATTAAATCTATTACTTCTCCCTTAGCATTAGCGTGGACGGTAAAGTATGAGTTTTCCATTCCTGTCCATTCAAAAGTTATTAACCCAGAAAGAAGGCTATCACTACTGTATGCTTGGTTTACAACAAAGTTAACTTTTGATCCAGCTATCGTAATCTCTGTATCTGCTTTTTTAAGAGCGGGGAAGTCTGGATCATACTGATATTCCAAATCTATAATGCGTAATTTACCGTTCATTGCAGTTTCCGGAATGGGTTGATTTAAAACACTATTATCAAAATTTAAATTAAGCTCTCCTGTTCTAATATAACCACCTTTGATATATTTCTGTAAGAATAGCACTACCTCATTATCGGCAAGAAATTTCTCTGCAATTTTATAAATCATTATAGGAATATTATTAATATTAGCTTGAGCTTCAACTAAGTTATTATGTATTTTACTCTTTAATAATAAATTAGCTTGATCACCAAAAGTAAATTTGCAGTCTAATGATTTTTGTAAAATTGGATCAGACTTATTTTGATAAAAGCAACTTCCTGCTCCATCTGGCAGGTGCTTACCATATGAATCAAGGAGGCTAATGTTTTTAATCGGAGAGAAATTTATCTCCGTTTTAGTAGTATTATTAAAAGGCTCTATTATGTGCTTAGCAGAGAGGACAGTATCTATTATATGTTGGTTATCTTCAGAAATGACAGCCAAATTATCCATACCAATAATATTAGTTACTTGAGGATTACACATTAGGTGACTAATAACAAAATTAATTCTAAAATTAGTAATTACTCCAGTAGTGTTATGGGTTAAAACCATAATGACTTTGTCAATTGATAGAACATTATTTCTAATTTGCAAATTACCAATTTTTATTTGAGCGTTTTTATAATTTAAATAAATTTCTACTCCCTTCTTTATTGGTTTATCGAAATAGCCTCGAGTTACCCCTAATATCAATAAGTATAAAACTAAAATAGCGGTACAAATTACTACACTTAAATTGATAAAAAAATTTTTGATTCCAACCATTTTACTATTTAATTTTAAACAATTATATACTATTTTAATTAAGCCAACGCACGATATGGGTAAATATTGTTATCGCGCAGGTATACTCTTCGTCTTTCAAGAGTTATTTTTTCATTTTATCAGGGATTTGCGCGCTCAACCCTGCCAAATAAAATGAAAGCCCTTAAAATCCATTGAGTATAAATATTAATTAGAAGGTATTTTTATTAATTTACTAACTATTCTTTAGCGACTTCGCTGTTAAAGCAGTCTACCATATCAAAATTGTTGCACAAGTTATAGTATCATTTATAATTTTTTCATTTTAAATAGAGAATTGATATAATTAGAAATTATAGGTTGATATTTCCTGTGATCTAAGGTTCTTTTAGGTTAATTTACTTATGAATATTACTTTTATCGGTACTGGTTATGTAGGGTTAGTATCAGGGATAATGATGAGCTATCTCGGACATAATGTTACTTGTTTAGATACTGATACGCAAAAAATTGCTCTACTAAGAAAAAATATATTACCAATTTACGAACCAAAGCTTGATCAGTATTTAGCTCCTTTAATAGAGTCTGGCCAATTAAAGTTTCTAGATATTTATAATACTACCTTAGAAGCTTCTAAGGTAGTATTTATTACTGTAGGAACTCCTCCACTTGCTTCGGGAGAAGCAGATTTACAATATATTTTTGCGGCTATAGATAGTGTTAGTAACTGGATTCATAAGGATTGCCTGATTGTCATTAAATCCACAGTACCTCCTACCACATGCAATCAAATCATTACCTACCTACACAAAAGAAACCTGCACTTTCCTATTGCCTCTAACCCAGAATTTTTAAGAGAAGGTAGTGCGGTAGATGATTTTTTAAATCCCGATAGAATTTTAATTGGTACTAATAGCAAAGCTGCTGGAGATTTGCTCAGAGAAATCTATCTACCTTTAATTACTAAAAAAGTCAGAATTGTAAGTACCGATCTGGTAACTGCAGAGCTAGCAAAATATGCCTCTAACTCTTTTTTAGCAACAAAAATTGCTTTTACTAATGAAATGGCAAATTTATGCGAGCAAACCGGGGCAAATATAAAAGATCTTACTTTGGCTATGGGAATGGATAAACGGATAGGGAAAGAATCATTAAATGCTGGTCCAGGTTTTGGCGGTTCATGTTTTCCTAAAGATCTTTTAGCCCTTGCCCAGGTAGCTAAAACTTTTCATACAGAGTGTCAAATCATTGATTCGGTAATAAGTAGTAATAATCAACGCCCCTATGATATGGTTAAAAAAATTTACTATCTCCTAAATACTTCTCCTATTTCAACGCATATTGACATGAGACAGCAGCAAACTCCTTCTGCCTTATGCTTGGATGAACGACAAGCTAAAGCAATTAAATATAGTTTGCCCTTTGAAATAAATTTTAGTAATAAGACTATAGCGGTCTTAGGTTTAACTTTTAAAGCTGGTACTGACGATATTAGGAGTAGCGCAGCGATTAAAATTATTCAAATCTTGCTTGATCGAGAAGCAATTATTCAAACATTTGATCCTATGGGTATGCCGGGTACTAAAAAATATCTAGCAGCTTTAAATTATAAAAATATATTTTATGCACAAACAGCTCTTAGCGCATGTCAAAATAGTGATATAATATTAATTACTACTGAATGGGCAGAATTTAAAACGCTACCTTGGGAAACTATCAAGTCTCAAACTAAAGCCCCTATAATTCTCGACCTTCGTAATATTTTAGATGCAGATCAGCTAAATTCCATAGGTTACAGGTATTATTGTATTGGTTATGGTTAATAATATATGTCATTTGATTTTGTTCATTTAAGAATTCAAAGTTCGTATTCCTTCCTTGAAAGCGCTCTTACTATTGAAAGCATAGTGGAACTAGCTTGTAAACATAAAATGCCAGCAATTTGTTTAGCTGATAGAGGTAATCTATTTGGATCTTTAGAATTTGCTTTAAATTGCGCTAAAGCTGGCATCCAGGCTATAAACGGAGCGCTGATAAACCTTGTTTATGCTGAAAGGGAGTTTTGTGAAATTCTATTAATCGCTAAAGATAACATTGGTTATAAAAATCTTTTGCAACTAGTTAGTGATAGTTTTACTAAAAATGATCGTAAAATTTGTAACCATATAACGCTTGATGATTTAATAAAATATAATGCAGGTTTAATCATTTTATCTGGTTATGCTGACGGTATAGTTGGCAAAAATCTGATTGCTAAAAAAAACGAATTGGCAATTTATTGGGCTACTAAGCTGCAAAGCATTTTTGGCGATCGTTTCTACTGTGAGATTATGAGACATAATTTAGCCACCGAACAAGCAATAGAAGAAAATTATATTAAGCTAGCAAGTGACCTGGCTATTCCCTTAGTAGCCACTAATAAAGTATTATTTAGTAGCATTAATATGCATGATGCTCATGACGTTTTATTATGTATAGCACTTGGGGTAAATAA